CCCGAGGAGATCACGGCGCTCACGTGAGTCTCACAGGCCCCGCCCTCACCTGGCCCGAGGAGATCACGGCGCTCACGTGAGTCTCACAGGCCCCGCCCTCACCTGGCCCGAGGAGATCACGGCGCTCACGTGAGTCTCACAGGCCCCGCCCTCACCTGGCCCGAGGAGATCACGGCGCTCACGTGAGTCGCAGGCGTCGAGCGGCCAAGCTGCACCCGCTGGCCCGATACCGTTCACAGGCTGCCCCTGACGCAGTTTACACCTACTTGCAGTCTACCCCACCTGCACTTTGCAGCCACGCACAGACTGCGCCCATTCGCAATCTCCACCACTCGCAATCTTCACCCACTGTAACCTCGGCTGCAGTCTATTGCTTGATGTGAACTTCTCTATGGAGGATTTAGACAAACACAACGCACATCTCAAGCGCAAGTATGCGGGTTGGATTTACCCTGTCGGGACCCATAGGCTGAGGATTGCCTCAGGGCCCTTCACCCGTTTACAGGTTACGGTTTCAAAATGGGGGCCATTTTCATTTTCAAAAAAGGTTAGTGTGGAGCCTCTAGGCAACTGGGTAGAGTAACCATCAAGTTAATTCGGCCCTTCGGGGCTAAGATACGCGCTGTGATAAAATTTTATCGATGATTTTAAATGAAAAATGTATGGGCTTATCGATAAAACGGCGTGAAAAGAGCTTATCACGGCGCGCATCCTAGGCCTACTGGCCACGCCGCACTACTCGTATGTCTACACTATCCTTTAATATCGTGTGTTCCCCAGTGGGTCCCGCGCGACCGAGCGGCGCGAGACGCTGATCGCGCCCAACTTGCCGGGCGCCACTGGTCTTCACAACCTCGGCAATACTTGCTTCATGAACGCAGCGCTACAGTCGGTAAGCTGCGTATTTTCCGTACTTGGAGAATTTGTTGTCAGACGCCCAGTAGACGCCCTAGTAGTTATGGACACAGCCCCAGCTAATATGTTGACCACATAAAAAAGTTGGAAGACGTATTACGTTACTTTATGTAAAAAAATAAAAGCAGTCAAGCGGGAATCAAGATAGCACATACTGAGATTACCGCACGTAATAATATTACTCTGACTATATCATTGCTTTTAGCTCTGACCGATGAAGGCAGAATTTTTCTTCGCAGACAGGGTAATGAACAATTTAAACTAATTTTATGTACAGGTATGGAACACGGGACCTCTCACACAGTACTTCAACTCGGGCATGCACATGTATGAGTTGAACACCGCCAATCCACTGGGGACTAAAGGAGCCCTCGCGTTGCGGTTCGGGGAGCTCTGCAAGGAGGTAGGTCGACATATCATCCGAAATATTGTCAATTTCACTCTGATTGTTCATTTGATGTTGTATTTTTTTTTAATTTAACTGCCTTTTTAAAGTTACTCCTTTAGGAATAGTGTTAATTCCATAAACAATACATCGCAAATAATTTTATTGTATTAAAACTATTCTACATGAGTTTGAAGACACTCTGTGATAGTAAAGCTTCGGTCAAACTAATGCGCTCAGTCTGCATCCGCGATAGTAATCATTGCGCTTGCAAAACTTGTTTACCCTGCCGCGTTCGCATTCCAGACGTTCACCATGAAAAATCTCTGCCATTTTAAAATCAGAAACGTCAATATGAAATCGTGCGCAGACATTTCATTGGACGCTGCGGCTAATGTCAGGATGCGTCAATGTGAACACATTGCTACAAGTTCGTATAAAAGAACTACGCTGAACTGTTGTTTATTTGACAGTGATAGAAGGACGCCACCATCTTCGTTCAGCTACATGGTTTACACTGGTTTCCACCGTGGCAAAAGTCGGAACCAGTGATCCGCTATTGTCAGTGTCAAGTGTAGTTCTTTTCTGTACACGACATCTGATCGTCATCGTGCACGCTAACGCAGTTGTAAGCTGAACGGGTTGGTTTATGATTTGACTAGTGGCTGCCCGCGACTTCGTACGCGTGGATCCCGTTTTACCCCCTTCATCTATCTTACGCGGTTTAGATTTTTTCATACTAAAGGATTTTCCCACTAATTCCCGTTTCCGTGGGAATTTCGGGAATTCCTTTCTTAGTGCACCTTTACGGTACCTAAGCTACGTCCCCTCCAAATTTCAAGTGCCTACGTTTAGCCGTTTAGGCTGTGCGTTGATACGTCACTAAGTCAGTCTAGTCTCCTTTTAAATATTTAGAAGATATCATTTCGTCTCTGACTGTGTATCTCTCGCGCCAGGTGTGGTCGTGCAGCGCGCGCTCGGTGGCGCCGCTGCGCGTGCGCTGGGTGGTGTCGCGGCACGCGCGCGCGCTGGCGGGCGGCGGCCAGCACGACGCGCAGGAGCTGCTGGCCTGGCTGCTGGACGCGCTGCACGAGGACCTCAACCGCGCCGCGCCCCCGCCCGCCGCGCCCGCCCCCGCCGACTCCGACGGCCGCCCCGACCAGGTCAGTGACGTCACGCGCGGGCTGCTGGCCTGGCTGCTGGACGCGCTGCACGAGGACCTCAACCGCGCCGCGCCCCCGCCCGCCGCGCCCGCCCCCGCCGACTCCGACGGCCGCCCCGACCAGGTCAGTGACGTCACGCGCGGGCTGCTGGCCTGGCTGCTGGACGCGCTGCACGAGGACCTCAACCGCGCCGCGCCCCCGCCCGCCGCGCCCGCCCCCGCCGACTCCGACGGCCGCCCCGACCAGGTCAGTGACGTCACGCGCGGGCTGCTGGCCTGGCTGCTGGACGCGCTGCACGAGGACCTCAACCGCGCCGCGCCCCCGCCCGCCGCGCCCGCCCCCGCCGACTCCGACGGCCGCCCCGACCAGGTCAGTGACGTCACGCGCGGGCTGCTGGCCTGGCTGCTGGACGCGCTGCACGAGGACCTCAACCGCGCCGCGCCCCCGCCCGCCGCGCCCGCCCCCGCCGACTCCGACGGCCGCCCCGACCAGGTCAGTGACGTCACGCGCGGGCTGCTGGCCTGGCTGCTGGACGCGCTGCACGAGGACCTCAACCGCGCCGCGCCCCCGCCCGCCGCGCCCGCCCCCGCCGACTCCGACGGCCGCCCCGACCAGGTCAGTGACGTCACGCGCGGGCTGCTGGCCTGGCTGCTGGACGCGCTGCACGAGGACCTCAACCGCGCCGCGCCCCCGCCCGCCGCGCCCGCCCCCGCCGACTCCGACGGCCGCCCCGACCAGGTCAGTGACGTCACGCGCGGGCTGCTGGCCTGGCTGCTGGACGCGCTGCACGAGGACCTCAACCGCGCCGCGCCCCCGCCCGCCGCGCCCGCCCCCGCCGACTCCGACGGCCGCCCCGACCAGGTCAGTGACGTCACGCGCGGGCTACTGCCCGACCAGGTCAGTGACGTCACGCGCGCGGGGCTGCTGCCCGACCAGGTCAAACGGGACTATTCCCACCACTGCAACTCCTGTGTAGCCAGGATTTACAGCATGACCGCCAATAAAAACCCAACCTATGAAGGTCAAGTTTGTCCCGGGGGAAAGTTAAACTGTCATTGGATTGGACCCGCAACGAAATTAATCAGAAATGAAATGAAATATATTTATTTGCTTCAATCTTGAGTAATACAGTAAGGTGTTCTTAAAATGGTTTGTTCGTCAAAATCTACTTATATAAAAGCATGCAAGAAGAAGAACATAGGAGGAGTTCGAAGTTAAGGTTCGACTTCCCTCCGTTACAAAGCGGATGACAGGTGACAAAAAAAGGTTTGTCATCGACCAGGTCAGTGACGTTGACTTGACTAAAGCCCCCCCACTAGCATCTTTCGAACGTCACCGTTTCCCGTCACGGCGCTAGCTCTGCGTTGTCGTGACGCACATCACTTCTGTGTAGTGTCTTTCGCTATGAGTGTGACGTATAGTACACCACCACCCATGGTTCTTCCTGCCTCACGGCGTACGAACCGAATCTCGGGAGAGCGCGCGGGTACTTGCTCTGGGCTCTTTCCCCGGGCGCTTTGCTTGACTCCCTACAAATTTATCTGATCCACGTCCCTTCTCATAGTCAATTCTCCCCCTTCTGGGGCTTGACACCACAAATACGGTACTTCGCGTCGGGCTGCTATCGTTGATAAATGTCATCACTTCTTCTCATAACTTCGCCTGATTGTGTGCCAGGAGTGCGCGAACTCGCGCAGCGCGATCCAGTTACTGTGACGTATAGTACAGTACTGCGCCGTTCGGATCGCCTGCAACCTTTATATTTTATAAGTACCCGTTGTAAAGTTTATGTCTGCTTACAGGTGGTGGCAGCAGAGTCGTGGGCGGCGTATACAGCGCGCAACCAGTCAATCCTGACGGAACTGTTCTGTGGCCAACTCAAATCCCGTGTCCGATGCGTGACGTGTTCCCGTGACTCCGTGCGCTTCGACTCCTTCAACATGCTCAGCCTGCCGCTGCCCATGGAGTCCATCGTCCGCGCCGAGGTGCGAGGTACGTCACGCTACACTCCGTCACGCTACACTCCGTCACGCTACACTCCGTCACGCTACACTCCGTCACGCTACACTCCGCGTCACGCTACACTCCGTCACGCTACACTCCGTCACGCTACACTCCGTCACGCTACACTCCGTCACGCTACACTCCGTCACGCTACACTCCTTCAACATGCTCAGCCTGCCGCTGCCCATGGAGTCCATCGTCCGCGCCGAGGTGAGAGGTACGTCACGCTACACTCCGTCACGCTACACTCCGTCACGCTACACTCCGTCACCTTCACTCATACAATAAGAAAGAAAGAAACCAAAATAATTGACTTGTCTTTCTTGTTGACACTATATGCGTTTATTCCGACGTTTCTTCTCAGCACTTGCTATATTATGTTTGTCTCGAAGCGCTGGTAGGGCCCAAAAGATAAGGAGACATGTAAAGTGCCCCATAAAGGCTACCTTTTCTTTTATTTACTATATTTTGACGTTCATAAGTGCCACTTGTGGTCTAAACTGGATAAATATTTTTTGATTTTAATTTTGATTTGATTTTGCAAAAATTCCCATTGATTTAAAACCAAATATTGCCTTAAATCGTGTGACGATTGAAACACACCATATACTGTATAAATGATGAGGGCTACTGTATTTGGCATTCCTTACTTGGCGTCACTGATGAGTGACAGGACGACCTTTCAGTGGCGCCAACCCTACTAGCAAGTTACTAGAGTCAAAAGATCGCGAACATTTGCTCGCGAGCATTGTTCGCGTTCGCCGCTCCGCCCCGAGCGCCGTTTGAATGTAAACTGTTGGCTTGCAGTGATCCTGCTGGACGGCTCGGTGCCGGTGAAGTACGGCGTGCGCGTGCACTCGGAAGGCACGTACCTGGACCTCAAGCAGAAGTTGGCGAAGCTGTGCGGGCTGGAGCCTGACTCGTGAGTGCACATCCTTCTTATTTTTATTGTTCTTTTTGACAGACTCTCAAAAGGTTATGGAATAGGGTAAAAAATGCTCCACATGCTTACATATTGGATAAATATTTTATCTTATATTTTTGAAACTTATTAGGGTGTGCGGATAATGTCACCATAATACAACGGTTAGGAGATTAAAATCGATCCAGGAGGCTCGGGATTCAATGAGGTCCCAGGTGGGATACACAAATTGAAAAAATACTTCGTGAATTTGTTCCCAGTTTGGCTAATTATAATTAGTTTCGAGTTTCGATTTCTATTAGCATGATAGTAGTTGCGACTCTTTCGTGTCTTGCATAAATTTCACAATACCGAGGCAAACCTCGATCACGCCGCGTGACATCTGTGCCCATTACCATGTACTTCTGGATCATCTGGTTAGGTCAGGTGTGAGTCACGTTAAAGTGTACATATGAAAATAGATGAAACTAGACCTATTTTATCGGCAAAAAAGAGGTCAATTTTTTTTTTAGATTTTTTTTAATTAATGTAGAATTATTTTTTTCCAATTACTTATTGTAAAGATAACGTAATAACTTTAAACTAAGCGGTATATCCTGATAAAATAAAAACAGTAATAATGCTTAATAACAGGCGATACTAAAAAAATACATAAAATACACAAAAAATGCCAACAAATAATAAAAAATGATACTTTTTGAAAAAACTCTGCTTTTAAATTCGTGTTTTTTTTTTGTTATTTGATAAATTTCTACAAAAAATGCCCCTATAACCGGTGGTTTTTATTACTTTGTATTATTCTCTATCGTATTATCTTTGTAAAACCAAAAATCGCATGCAACATTTGCTATGATCTAGTTTCATCTATTTTCATATGTACACTTTAACGTGACTCACACTGTATTTATGTGCGTCCCCAGGATGCTGCTGGTGGAGCTGAGCGGCGCGACCATCGGGCGCGTGCTGGAGGACGGCCACAAGGTGTGCCCCGCGCGGGCCATGCAGCTGTATGCCTACGAGCTGCCGCCGGCCCCACCCGCGCCGCACCACGCGCCCTGCGTGCCCGGTGAGCCCCCCCCCCTTAGATTAATAAAACCTAGATAGATAGTCAGTGCACGAAAGGTGAGGCAGATTTTAGTGAGCCAGAATGGCTTACTCGTAAACGTCACATGAACTGTCAAAGTGAAAAATTGGTAAACACGTCCGACGACTTTTCAACCGACTTCAAAAAAGGAGGAGGTTCTCAATTCGACCCGTATGTTTTTTTGTTTTTTCTATGTTTGTTACGCGATAACTCCGCCAATTATGAACCGATTTGAACAAATCTTTTTTCGGCGTATAGGTAATACCTCAAAGGTGGTCCCATTTAAATTTAATAATAGAAAAAACAACCCCCAAGGGTGGAAAATTGGGGATGAACTTTTTTATACGCAATATCTCCGCCGATTATAAATCAATTTGAACGATTATTTTTTTGTTGAATAGGTATTATCAAAAGGGTGGTTTCATGCGAATTTGAAGAAAATATTTCACCCCCAAGGGTGGAAAATTGGGGATGAACTTTTTTATACGCAATATTTTTAATTTTTAGTTTTTTTTTGTGTTCACGCATTTGAAGTCGGTTTTATTTTTTAAAAAAGTTAATTATAGTGAGCCAGAATGGCTTACTCGTAAACGTCACATGAACTGTCAAAGTGAAAAATTGGTAAACACGTCCGACGACTTTTAATTTGTGGGAGTCGCATCACGTCGCATCGTGTCAGCCGCCGTACTGCGAGATAGGCCGCGAAGAGGCCGCTTATATTAATAACCTCCGGCCGAGAGGTCCGAGAGGCTGTCTCGCTCGCACACCCACCGCGGGAGCTCCGTGGATATAACCTACGCTCGAGAGGACAGATATTGCTGTCCCGCTTCCTCTATGGGAGCGCGCGGGTACGCGCTGAAAGTTTCAAAGTTTTCATGTCGTGTGCGACAACAGCTAGGCTCCATAAATTAATTAAGACGTTTTGTGCTGTGAAAGGGTGTCAAATACATCAGAAAAACTAAAGAAAGTGACCAGTGTTACATTTCATAAGTAAGTACTACGATTCGACGCGTATTTTGCTTGAATTTGGCTTTCAAAAATTAAATACGGGAACGATACCAGTAACAAGAAAATTTATTTCCCAATTGTTCGCCGTACAAATACACTTCCTTTTTTATGAAATCGAGACTTTTAAGTCGATTTATCTTACTGTAATCAGGTAGGTACTTTGAATTCAATAAATAAGTAAGTACATGATGCGTTATGTTTTTGTTAGTTATAAAATAATTAAAAACGTATTAAAAATTTCCCTACTTTCGGGAAAATCGCCTTCACTACACACACAACAAAATTGACACTAATGACATAAGATTTTTGCCTCACTCTTGACGAAGCGTTTGTATGAAGACTATCCATCTAGGTTTTATTAATGTAAGGCCCCACCAGTGTGCCCGCGCGCGCCATGCAGCTGTAACCGCGCACTAGTGAGCCGCTGCGCACCACCATCCACACACACTGATCCCCCAGCAGTCAGAGCTGTGCAGGTCGACCCACGCGTACGTAACTTACACTTGTGTGCAGTCCAGTCAATTTTCAGGAGTTAGACCCCTTTCTAATTTACCAGACGCACATAGAGAGGTTGGTTGACTCTCCTCCACGATGGCTGAACGAGTTGGTAAGGCCTGATGTCCATATATTTGTCTTTTAGACGCCTAATACTTCATAGAGAATATTGGCCCCCCACTAGGTGTACCGTCGATCTGGTGAAGGTCGTGGGAAGTACCTAGATGTGGGCAACGCAAGATCTGTCGTTGTGGATATCCTTGAGGGAGACCTTTGTCCAACAGTGGACGTCATTTGGTTGAAACGAACGATTGGGGAAAAGCAGGAGTGGTCCTATTCTACCGCTCCGGAAACATAGCTAATGTGCAATGTCCTAGGCATTATGACATGCCTAGGACATTGCACATTGACAGTAAGTGCTTATCCGCTTTTTCTTTGAAGAAGCTCAGTACCAGTACCGAAACTAATCAAATATCTCAGCCAGACCACATTTGATCAAAGTGTTTCTCATTTTCAGTAAAAGAAGAAAAAAAAGAGTAGTATTCGTTAAAAGACAACAGACCAAGTCCAGTGCTCTTAGCTCATGTCACTGTTTAATGTTAACAATTTTTGTAGGCAATTTTGTTGTTTGATATGTTTTTGTTGATTGATAAATCGGATTGATGCTAAAAATGTTTTCCTAAATTAGTACTCACTATAGTCTTTTTCACGTAAGATGATCCGTATGACGTTTCGAGTTTGAAAGTTATAGAGATGTCACATAACTAAACCATAGCGATTTATCTATCGATTTTTTTCTTAGAGTTAGTAAAACCTACTTTTATAGAAATATTTTGTATAGGTGTCATTTAACAAAAAACATCTTTTTAATTACAAATATTTTTGTAACAATTTTTTATTGATAATATTTAAATTCCATGGACTTCGTGTTCAAAAAACCGATTCCTAAAAAGTACTGGTTCTATTTCTTTAAAATAAAAACTATTAATTTATTTTCAATGTGTTTATTAAAGTCAACAATCGAAAAATATAGTTGATTTTTGTGATGTTTTTAATAACTAAGTATTCACTGCAATCGATTAATGAACCGCGGAAATAATCGATTTTGTTATACAACAAATACCCCAGCACTAAATCTATTCCGTTTCACACATTGCGTACATTAAATAAAAAATATTTTTACATCGTATTTAATTAAAATATAATCAATAGACTCAGATTTTACTATATATTTCAAGACAAGTAGTTAATTTTTTTTAATTATATTTCTAATAAAATAAAAATATTTTTTCAAAAATATTCTGCATATGTAGTATGCGTAATATGGATAACCTTGAAGTGTCATACGGATCATCTTAGGTGAAAAAGACTATAATAAGGTGTATTATAATTAATTACAATATGCTATGCGTAGGCTGGAGCGGCGCGGAGGCGGCGTGGGCGGAGGTGAGTGCGCCGCGCGGCCCCGCTTCCTCACTCTGCATGCCCGCACTCTTCTGCTTCAAGGTTAGCACGCGCACGGACACACACACACACACACACATACAATGCACACGTACAGTCGCTTCGTCCACGAAGACGCGCCCCGCCAATGTTTTTGCCCAAATAGGCTAGTTTCCTAAAAAAATTTTTTTAGTCCGTCATGTTTAATATCAAAAAATATTGGACACATATATTTTTATTTGTCAATCTAACAAATAATTACATAGTTATGGTGCGTTGAAGTTCCGCACGACGTCACAACGTGCGGCACTTTTATGCAAGCGTTGACGTCACGGGCCTCTTCTTATGAACTTTGGCGCGCTTTATCTCTTTAAATTTTCATTAGTTTTAAAAAGTGAAAAATACGTGTAGAGTATTTTTTGATAAGTTAACTGACGGAATAATTAACTCTTGCTTTTTGACCCAGGAAACATCCCTATTACTAATAGTCCCATTAGCCCCTCGTGTTAAGCTAAATAAGCTTGTGTTACGAGTGGGCTCACCACAATAGTCGAGCGGCGGTGGGATTCAAACCCGCGTTCCTCGGATCTCGAGTCGGCCACTCCGACCCCTTCACCGTTCGGCTATCGTGGCTATGTTTGGTCTCGGTCGCGCGGGGTGCGGGGAGTTTGATCCGAGCAATCCGAGCGGTATTATTGTAGTGTTCATGGATGATTTAGCGTGTACCGATAACTCTCAAACATTAGCGGAAGAATGGTGGGGCGCGTCTTCGTGGATGACACAATCTATACTATCGGCCAAATTTCCAGCTACCCATCCCGGTCATGTGTCTCGCTCTATTGCAAAGAGTCACCATTTGATGAGAGCGAGAGAAAAAATGGAAATGGATAGCTCGAACTGTGGCCGATAGTACAGCGCACACACATGCCTAGGTAAGGTACAGTCAGCGTCAAAAAGTTCGTGACTCTCAAAGTGGCCAAAAAGTTGACAACTCAGCTTTATTCCAATTAGGGTTTTCGCGAATGAAAAATCCGCCAGATTGGTTATTTTTGACATGACATTGACAGATATGTCAAAATCCACCAATCACGCAGCAGTCAGACCCCACATCCACGTCCCGCCATCTAGCGGATCTTTCATTCGCGAAAACCCTCATTGTAACAAAGACGTGTTGCGAACTTTTTGGCTACTTGTTGGGTATCACGATCAATTTTACGCTGACTGTAACATACTTGTCAATCGATAAATGTTTTCAAATAACGACTAAAATGTTACTTCACGTCAAACGTCGTCAAACAGATTAATAAAGATGTTCTCAAATGAATGGTGACTAAAATAAACACAATTTGAATTTGAAAAAATAATCTTAAGTTATTGAAAAGGTTAATATTAATCGTATGTTGATTATTTTTGACAATCTAAAGTTTAAATTAAAGTGTTTTTTTTTCTTTATTTTTAATGTATTAACTATTGTTTTGTGTGTAACTAAAAGCATAACATCACTATAATAATGACGTTTGATAAACATTTTACGAGCGATTTCACATTGGATTACACTAACACTTCGTCAATTTTATATGAAACACAAATTGAAGTTCCAAATTTTTCAGTGTTTTAGATTGGATTACAAGACCGGCCACAAAGAAAACCTAAGTAAATGTAAAAAGTTATTCTAAAATAACACTGTACAAAATTTTGTTAAGATTTACAGCTGAAAACCAAATAGATAAATAACATCACGAACCAGAAGTAGTACACGTCACTTATAAATCAGATACAAATTAACATTATTTTTAAGTTTATTAATTTTTGGTTGATACGATATTTTAATATGATAAAAAATGAAGTCGGTGAGGGTTAACAGATATCTACTAAAACGGTAATAATGAATGGGAGAATCTAACTAAAATTGGGGGATCTAACAATATTACGAATGTACATAATCCTAATCCGGTGTGTACCTTGTGTCTGTGCAATTGTACATAAACGTGGGACCCAGTAA